CAGAAGGTCATTGGTTGAAATCCCAGAAGTGACAGAATGATTTCACTGTTGGGATTTTGAGTAAGACCCTTAACTTCAGGGACTCCTGGGACTCTGACTGCTCACTGCTCTGTCTGACTCTGCTTTTAGTTTGGATAAAAGTCTCTGCTCAGTACAGAAATGGTAAATATCTCATGCTAGAATTTTTAGTTAGTTGACAGCGCCCACTTGTGGCGGATTTTAATACCAGCAATAATGCTTATAAGACTCGCTACACTAGCGGTGCCTTTTGTTGTAGTTTGTCTGCATTGTCATTGCTATTAAATTCACTAAGGTGTAACTACTGTTTTTTGGGCCCACAGCAAATGGACAATGCAGTCTTCACCTTCGAGCAGCTCCTCAACCAGAGTCTGGATGGACCAGAGGGAGAAGATCTGTCTAAGATCACCAATCGCTGCCAGGAAAGAGTCATCAAGGTGATGGCACAGAGGCAAACCCCCCAGGCACGGAGGGCTTAGGGAGTTTAAGTGCATGGGGGTAGGAGCAGATGAACTGTAGGATTCATGCAGTCCCATTATGTTTGCAGAGGGCCTTTCATTCAATGGTCAACCTTTTGTCCAAGGCCTGACCAATTATCTAAATGGCTCTCCCCCTTTGTCCCCCAGAAATATGACTATGACAGCAGCACTGTACGGAAGCGGTTCTTCAAGGAGGCTCTGCTGCAGATAATCATCCCCTACATGCTGAAACAGCTGAGTCCTTCCTGCTCCGAGGTGCGGCACCACTCATCCTTCACCTCATTCTTACTACAGGCCCTGCCTCAGACACATGGCTGGAATATGGCAAGGTTTATGGTTGTATGAACTAGGCATGACCACACAGTTTGTTCCATCCCTGGAGGCTTTCTTGACCATTGGAGACTCCTTCCCCCAGGAGCTGCCTAGATTCCAGGAACTGATCTTTGAGGATTTCTCTCGCTTCATCCTGGTGGAGAACATCTTTGAGGAGGTGGTGCTGCAGTCTGTCATGAAAGACATCATAACAGGTAAGGCTGAAACAAGGGCATGTGGAACCATCCGGTTGTGGGCATAGAATTCATAAATTGTGGGTCAGAATGAACTCAAGTCACCCCTCCCCCTATGCAGCGGTCCATGAGGCAGCAGTCCAGAGGCGGCACAACCTCTTCCGAGACAGCATGATCCTGACCAACAGCGACCCCAACCTTCAACTGCTTGGGGAGAACCCATCTATTGACTGGGGAGCCCAGAGAGGGAGAGGGAAGGGGGGCGCAGAGTCTGCTGAGCTGTTCAGGAGACGGCACCAAGTGGTATCCATGGTAAAGCTGGATGAGAGGGATCCCAGCTTACAAATACCTGGTCAAGATTGGATTCCAGAAGAGGAGGGTGAGGAGGATGGGGATGAAGCCAGTACAAGTCCTGCCTTTAGTCCGGGCCTTGCCTCTAGTCCAGGCCCTGACTCCAATCTGGGCCTTGCCTCTAGACCGGGCCCTGACTCCAATCTGGGCCTTGCCTCTAGACCGGGCCCTGACTCCAATCTGGGCCTTGCCTCCACTCTGATCTCTGCCTCCAATCTAATTCCTGCCTTCTGCTCTGCCCCCGTCTCCATCCCGGTCCCTGCTTCCAATGTAGAATCTGGCACTAACCTGGACCCTGCCTCTAGTCCAGACCCCACTGCGATATTGGACCCTGGATCTAGCCTTGATCCCACCTCTAGCCCAGACCCCAACACCCAAATGTCTCCAGACAGTGTGCATGAGATTCGTCATCTCATTAACCCCTTCGTGGAGGTGCTTGTGCCCGCTTCCGAGCCCGATGGGCCACTGCTGCCCAATGGGATCATTCCAAGTGGAGATGGTGAGGACAGTGTGACCAACCTGTGCACCACAGAGTGGAATCCCCTACAGGAAGCTAAAGGTGTGCTTCCTGGACGAAGTGGAAAAATAAACGAGGATGAGAGCAAGAATTTCACCAAGGCTGATGTACAGCTGGAAACCCCCATGTCTGGCACAGAGTTGGTACATCCCACTGTGAATCATCAAAATGACAGCGGCTTTCAGTCCCCAGCCAGTGAAGTGCTGGACGAGGAAGAGCGTCAGCCAGTCTCTGAGGTTCTGAAAGCGGAAGAGTCCACTATTTGTCCAGAGATGGTGAAGGTGATGTTTGAGAGTAGTGATGTGGCTCCCCCCATGGAGTCAGTGGCCTGATCCTCTTGGCAACTTCTGAGTTTTTTTTTTTCCTTAAGAATTGCATATGACTCCCTCCTTCCTATGTAGTTGTCTTTTTTTTTTTTATGAAACAAGGTTGAGCTTGTGGAGCTCAGACTATGGAGTCGGTCTACGCTGCAGTTTTTCTCCCATGATAATGCCATCTTTTACTCCCTGGATTGTTTTAAAGTTTTTGTTTATGGATTCTGGGAATAACCTGTTTATAATTAACTTAACACCCACTAAGACCACAGTGTATATGATTTTCTGAATTGCTGTTGACCTCTGCTCAGTCGCGAGAGGTGAGAGATTTCACAATATTGCAAAAGCAACACTAGGGGGCAGCATGCTCACACACTCATAGTTGTGTCCTCTGGAAATTGAGAGTGGCATTTCATGATGGTCACCAGGTTATGTCGGTTTGGGAGGACGACCGTGCCAGATCACGAAGGAATGGTGGAGGTAGCCTGTTTTGTCACGTCATCAAGGTGAAAGGTCAGCTGTGATGTTAGTAGGAGGTGTTTTCCAGTGCTGAACTGGTGATTTCCATGCATGTTTCTCTCACATTCAACTGAAACCCCATCGAAATGATGCAGAAAAAACACCATTAACATTGCAGCTAAAGATTCTGTTCATGGCCTACTGATGTCACATTTGTTTAATTCCCAAGTGGGTAACTTTCAATTGGTGTGATGGGCAGGCTGGGTTAGTGGCAGTGACCTGTGCCACTGGTTAACCATTTAATCATTTTGGTGTTCTGCCACTTCGCAGTTATGCAGTGCTTGTGATAATGAATGAAGCGGTGGCTAGCGAAGGACTTTTGGAGGAATGCTGAGAGATTAGCATGTAGCGGCACAACATACCATCGCTCCCACTGATACTATTCAACTGTTAAGCTTTACGTGAATAACTTGCCTTGCTGCTGTGGCCACAGAGCAAAGCCACAGTCTACATCTCACTTCCTCATCATAAAGGAGTATGATCAACTTCACATCCATCCAGGTGTCAGGTCACTTTGGCATCCTGAGATTTTCTGTATGAAGAGATTTACACTCTGTGATAAACACTACAGCCACACTCCTGCACCATCAGCAGTTCAGGATCATCATTATTTTGTTTGCAAAGACAATTAGTGATATTTGTTCATCTGTTAACTTTAGGCTATAATCCTTCCTGAGACGTCCACCCGAAACACAAACAAAACAGACAAAACACAGCTGCCCAGTTATCCCAGCTCCAGGTCTGTGGCATATGCCTGCTGTCGAGTGGTTGAACACTAGCAAGCTAATCCTCCCGTCTGCATTCATGCCACCGGGGCTGCGAAGGAGTCTCCGATTGGGCGGAGGAAGGAAGGTGAGAGGGCGAGCTGGCAGACAGGGTGGAAAGCCCATAGGAGTGAGAGGGGTCCAGGGATAGAATCTGGCTGAGGGCATCCATTGGCGGCGTTACCCAATTTTTGTTTCTCAAAATACGCTGACCTTGAATTTACTTTGCATTCAGGAGAATGCCGTCTGCCTTATCGGACGGCTTCCAAATGGCCCGGGTCAACTGGTCCACTGCTAACGAATCCACTGAAACCAATTAGATGATGCACTTGCTAAGAGACGACTATGTTTGTTGATTGTATACATTCCCAATATACATAGATGTTTTTCTTAACTCCAGAGGGGGTTTTTGTTTACTTAGTATTTTATTATTGTGAGGGTACAGTACAGAGGCATTTCTGAGCAGGCAGACTGATGGCCACCTATGAGAAATCTGGGTTGTGTAAGGAAGTGCTTGTGTATTCTCTGCTACTCTTTTATTTATTAATGATGAAGTGCCTTCTTCACCGTTTCTGCCTTACTCCCAACCTCCTTTCACTTTTGTGCCTGATTTATAGGAGTGCTGTAATAGTGCTTTATTAAAACTAATATTAAGATTTTTGAGTTAATTTTGTCTTTGGGGGCAGAGTATTAGGGAGGAACTTTGAACTAATCTATTATCAATAAAACATGTTCTATACTGTCTATACTGTGACTGTCATTGATTAATTGTGTTATAATTTAAATGTATTTTTTTTTAATTGATGTTATTCATTTTGCTGAGGATAATGACACACGTACATCTGCTACCTTCTGAAAAACAACTGCAGTTAAAAGCCAACAGTGATGCAGCTCAATCATTCAAGCGAGTATCTTGTTGGTGGCTAAAGGAGAACAGTGTGCCGGTGATGCAGGGGAGGGGTTCCTCTTTCTGAGTCGCCCACTCACATGACACCAGGGTTGAGTCTTGTAATTCTTGAGACAAACTGGAATTTGACCTTGTGTAATGTGGGCAAACAATATTTGATTCTTTCCCCTTCAAAGCATGCGTTTTTGACCGCAAACCTAGCAATGCTAGAAAAACAGAAGTGAAAATGACTTTGTTTGTACAAACCCCAGAAGTTAGATTTTTTTTTTTTTTTTTTTAGTTTATTGGATGTCAGATAAAACCACACAATCTGCAGGGTGTAAACTGAGCTGATGTAATACGCTTTGCTTGAAGGGTAACAATGTTGAAAGCTTTCTAACACTGGAAAGTCTGCATAGAGCGGGGACCTGAGATGTCCTCTTTTTTAAGGCTGTTGAAGGACAACAGGCAGACAAAACTCCTCGGTCAGCTGAGCAGCATCTTAACCACATTTACAGATGCCTGGAGACAACTAGCAGAACCACATTGGTCATCAGGTCAGAAGCAGCTGGTGCAGTCTGCCTAAAAGCTGTAATATTTCTACTGCAAGATCTTTAAAGTCTGGTAAAATCAATTCCAAACACAATTTTAGAGATTGATATTAAAATGTTTTAATTAGTTCACATAAAACACACTTAGTTAAATTATTAAAAGCTAATTGCCATAAATTGATTAAACAACCACCTGATAACTGGCAGTAAACAATTTGAACATCTAGGGGTGAAGGAGCCATTGAGGGAGGTTCCAGTCAAGGCCGTCCACATTTGAGTTTCACACCAACCTGCCATTCGCTGTATTGCGCGGTATGGTTAACAGTCTGTTTTCCTGAAATGATTGTGAGCAGTGGGAGGATTTAGCATTCTCAAAGGCACAGAAGTGGGGATTGCTGATTAAAGTCGTCTCTCACGCACACACACTATGCCAGTGTTGCACCCTCTGACCTTGACTCTATTACGCCTCTGAACTACAGCCAAAGACCTGACATGTAACGTGACAAACGCCTACAGACTTCCCCACCAATCACAAACTTTCACTGTAGAAAGATATGCCGTGGCTGACCAATCGCCTGCCGTTGGTTTCTGACCTGGTTTGATCTTTTGAACATTGCCATTTAAATGTAAACCCGACATTACAGAATAAGGAAAGCCAGCCTCACTCAAAACCACCATTTGCCCATCGCTGTAATGTCCGACAGGAGACCACACACACACAAAACTGGCCACAGGAAGTTGGAGGGTTGGTTTGCCACACATGTATCTGCCCTGTGGCTTCTGTTAAAACTGCAGGTCAGTTGATCGCCAGCGGGCAGCTGCTCTGGTGACCAGAATAAAAACACCACCTTCTCCAGCCTCGAAAGGTTTAGTGCGCAAAGTCTCTGCAGTATCCTACTCCTTTATGAATATCGGGAAAACAGAGGGAACGCTACGAAGTAGCCGATGATAGAGCCGGCGATGACGCCCAAGAAGATCCACACGTTGTAGGACATGACGCACAGCATGAGCATGTAGCCCAGAGTGACGTGAATGACATGGATGGCAGCCTGCAGGCTGTGCCGTAGCCACCTGCAGAGAGAGGACCCAATAAGCAGACTGCAGGGATTGTGTAAATATATACAGGGGCAGCAGGTGGCGTAGTGGCTAAAGAATGAACAGTGTGCTAATACATATAAATGTGGTGCTTACTCCAAATTGCTTCTTGAATATCTCTTCTTATTAAAGTGCTAAAGATCAATACTGCACATCATTTGATAGTAAAAATATGGTAAACATAAGATGTGGTCATGCATTAACTGAGATGACCACACGGGGCACCCTGCCACATACTTCTTCTTGGCAGGCTCCTGCTGCACTGTGCTGCCCAGAGAGGATTCAGACGGGCTGCTTGCCAGGGCATCGCTGCTGCCCAGGGCCTCCGGGGGGTGCCGCGGTGGTGGAGTGGGAACTGCCTGCTCCCCCAGCCAGACCTTGAGCACTTTGAGCAGCTCGTAGAACACGGTGAGGAGGAGCACCACGAAGACGGACAGGACCATGCCTGCAGGTCAGATACAGGGGAGCATGCTCTCCACTGTACAGTGCTGCAACTTCATCCACGTCATACAAAATGCATCCTCACTGATCTAAGGGCACTTACTGTGTATGGGTTATTCCATTTTAATTCAACAAATTTCCAAAAAGCACCATTTTTGATTTGATGAACCTTGGCATGTGAATTCCACATACTATCAAGAGAGCAGGAATATATATATATTTTTTTTCATTTCCCTTTAAGATATGTCGCCTTTTTTACAGCATGAGTAGCAAAAAAAAAAAAAGATACACAATAAAGGCCATTAGTTTAATTAAAATGGAATGACCGATATGATGAAAATTGATTATTGTTTCATTTGAGTGTAAATAGAATATCTAATAATCTGTGGGGGTGGTTTGAAGGTCTGTGCCAGTGTCCGGAGGGTTGCTGGTTCAAATCCCATGGCAAGCAGCGTGAGCAAGGCCCTTAACCTAAAAAGTGCTCCAGGGGCACCAAATAAATGGCTGACCCTGTGCACTGACCCCAAGCTTCACAAGCTTTAGCCTCACTTGTATGTGTCTCATAGGAGAGCATGATGAGATATGAAACCAGTGAATTTCATTGTGCTTGCTACCCATAGAACAGCAATTCTATTCTATTAGCATTATCTATGGAACTGACAGCCAAGATTGGACTTAAATCTGAAGATCTACTATTTTTTGGTCTAGTTACTCCTGTCTTTATGTGTACTGCATGCTGCTATGTGTGTGACAAGTGATGAACAATGTGTAATCGTTTCAGTACACCAAGAAACATGCTGGTCTGAGTGTATCTTACCTGCAGGTCCATGCACGTCCCAGAACTTGAAGAGCAGTGTGACACTACTTGAGTCCACAAAATGCATCTGTAAGGGGGTGCAGGGGGTGGATGGAGAAGGAGAGGAAAGAACATTGAAGTCACGTTTGGATATGGTGGTAATGATGTAGTGTGTGTGTGTGTGTGTGTCTGTGTGTCTGTGTGAAACATTCTGTACTGGAACATGAATCAGTACAAAACTACAGCATTTATGGTCATGTGTTTCTGTCCATTGCTATTACACCTACTTGGCTTCGCTGGCCCCCAACTCTTCAGGCCACGCCCCCCACAAACCCCGCTCCCCGCCTCAGGCCACGCCATCACCCCGTCACTTGCATACACCGACCTGTGGCCTGTACTACGAAGCGGGGTTACTGGCTTATCGGGGTAACTTGCTGGATTTAAGGTAGTCTGGGCAAAATGTAAGTGAGCGAATATGAAGTCCATTTAAACTGTGGTACCTTAAATCTGACAAGTTACCCCGATAAACCAGTAACCCCGCTTCGTAGTACAGGCCACCGGACTCGTAGTCACAAGACGCCCTGTTCCCGAAACAGTCAATCTCGTTTCCTTTCGGTTGACAGCGCTCTGTTGTGTTTATTTGATCGGATTGTCCCTTCGGCTTAAACAAAGCCGTACTCGGCGTTTTCGATTTCAGCTGAGGCGTAAATCACACGCAGCAAAAACAAAAGCCCATTGCTTCAATCAAGCGTGCAGAAAATGGGCAATTATCGCACTGCTGGACTGCAGCGTTGCACCTCCGAACAACTACACCATGACGATATGCTCCGATGCGCCCGGCACCTTCTGATAAACAAGACCTGAGATCAGCCTTTAAAAGTCTGCCTGATGTAATCTCCTGCCGTGATTAGACTTTAACTTCATTAATATCTATACGCAAGATAAAGTACTAAAGAATGTTTGGATTTCGGTTCAGCTGTATTAGAGGAAACATGTTACCCGACAATTTCAATATTTACCTAGAAACTTAGACTCATCACTAAATAAGAGATGCAGGAAGTAAAATGTTAACTACCTAGTTCCAGTCATGTGAGAATTACTATTTACTTAAGGTGCTGCGTTTATTTACATACAAAAATACATACAGTATCTAGGTGTCGAGTAGTGCGAACATTTTCTCAGACACTCGTTTTATTTGGGACAAGTTATACTCCATCCATTTCCAAACATTGGGTGCATGTCAAGTTATCGGTGCCAATTTTTTTCCTCTGAATTTCTTGAATTCAGTTTATGTAATTGTCTTTTCTGCAGTCCTTCTGTTAAATATTCAGTTACACCTTTCGTGATTTCGACTCCAATTTCAGATTATGATTAGTAAGATAAATGTAAAAAGCACGGAAATACTTCTAAAGTGGCATGTTTATTGTATTTATGCGGTGTACGCCGTTACAACGTTAGATTTTCCCAAATACCGTAAAAGGATATGTTAAAATTTCATAGCTACACCTTTGTACCCTGAAAAAATACAGGAACACTACATGAGGTTTTCTATACGCTTGTGGATTAAGGATACTGCGCATTGCTTTGTTTTTTTCCCAAATTATTTACACAGCATGAAAACGTGCACTAAGCAAAAAAAATAATGTGTATACATGCATATTGACATGTTCTAAACAAAACTGTTCCAAACTTGTAATGAGAGAACATATAATTTGACGCTGAATGAAAATTAATAACAAACAGAGAGATGACTTACAGACATGTTCATGTTTCACGCTATGTACAGATAAACTCTTCAGTGCAATGTTCGGCGTTTCGATGTACCCCAGACCCAACGGTGCCTTTACCGTCGGCAGCTGTCTACTCGGACAGCGGATAAACCCCTTCGCAGCACGGTTAACGTTTCAGAAGGACCGACAATCGTTATCACATGACGCCGTGGCTTCTCGCACGGCCTCATGGGAAACGTAGTTTTAGCATACACTTGCCAAGTTACTATATCAGTGTTTTACATAATCATGTTTATGCAGGAATTCATTTAAAAGAATGAATATCAGTTTTTAAATTGCAGTAATGGTTTACACATTTCAAAAATACGCTGCTTTCATTCATTAATTTATTTCACTTTCTGATTTTAAACACTGCTGGAAACATTTTAAGTTATCACTGTGAATGTTTTTGTCATAAACCTATTTTTTTTCTTTATTCTGATTTCGTATCTGGTTCTTCTATGTTGTATGTTTTGTTTTAGACTTGGTTCTGTCTTTTCTTGGCCACAGCTGACTTGAAAAGAGACTGTCTCAATGTGACTCCTGGTAGAAGAATCTTGTTTTAATCTTATAATTTAGTGCACTGTTTATTTATTTGATTTGATTTTGTGAGATCCACATGAATCTGCCAGTGGAGCATAGTATAAGGCGGACAGGTACAAAGAGGGAAATTATGATGTACTTTCTGGCGTCTATAGCTGACCGACACCTTCGTTCAACGTAACCTGTCAAACGACGGCGACAACCCGTCCTGTACCCCGGGGTTAGAACAGTGAAAGATCCAATGAGAACGGAAGGGTGTTTCTCTGTACTCGGGTCTGCTTCACCGCACCGGAAGTTAGCGAGAGCTAATCGGTTAACACCAAAATTATAAACCTCAGGGGGCGAGGGCTCTCTGAGTCCCCGGGTCGGTGGAAGACCCAGATGGGACTGTCTCTTGGGGCATTTGTTGGCCGTGTTAGAAACAGGGTTTTGTGCAGTGTGGCGTTTATATTGTCGGGCTAACGCGGCTACCAGGCCGGGACCGGGACCAAGGATGGAGTGCTGGCGAGGTTTGCCTTGCGCTGCAGGAGCGGACGGAAAAGCGGTGCACGAAGACGGCAGCGCGGCGCCGCGGCCGCCGAGACACCCGGGGAGGCGTCTGTGCTTTTGAGGGAGACTAGCATTAGCATTAGCAAGCTGGAGCCCCCCCGGTACGGAGTAGCTCGCTAACGGTGGTGGCCGGTAGTCTACAGGCTTTTTCCATTTACGTTTTTATTTGGTGTTTTCATATTTGTCCAGATGTTTACGCTATAAACACGTTTACAGACATATTGCTGTATTTATTACTGTACTCTTTGACACCGTTAAACGGACCCAGCTACTGAGGCCGGGTTAGCTGCCTAGCCGTGCTAAGTGCGGTGCGGGCCCGGTGTCAGCCATTAACGCTGCCCTCCGTGTATAAACAAAGCTCCCTTATTTAAGCTCGCCAACATTACCTTTTATATCACTTAAGGGCCGTACTTATTTAAAAAGTATTGGAAATCGCTTAGCATTTAGTCTAGGGCTGAAAACGGCTCCCCCCCCTACATAGTATGTGATATCTGTGTATACGGTGCTGGATCGCCGATGAATTTCGCCACTTGTCTTTTTTTTTATTTATTTTTTTAATAAAACCCTTTTCTATAATTAACGCGACCTTTTGAAATACTTCTGAAGGAGCGTTTTGATATTGACATTTGCGGAGGCGTGGGGCGTACGGCCAACAGGGTGGAAGGCATTTTAAACCTCGGGTTAGAAAGTTGTATATTGCAGAAGGGGTGTCCCAGCCAGGGGGGTATTGGTAGGGGGCACCTAGATCTTTGCTATGGGGATAAAGTGGGGAATTATCGTCGCCTTCAGCCTCCTCAGCTGGCTGATCGGGAACCGGTGTCGGGCCATGACGGCGGTGGAGAAGACCAAAATCAGGTGGGACATCCTGGGGTGCCTCTCGAAAACCGGATTTAAAGGTCGTGACAAGCATGCCCTTCTTGGTATATTCCTACACGAGTCGGTGGTTCTGTCAAATCCCACCGACTTTCTTATGTATTTGCTGGTCGCTTTTGTAGCTGGCAGTGTGCCATTTCTAAGGGTACCAGTTAATACTAACTTACCGTAGTTGCTGTGTTTTTATTGCATGATGTGTTTTGTCAGAAACCTCAGATGGTGTCCGCAAGTTTTTTCCCCCCCATTTCTAATGTCACATGGCATAATGTCTATGAAATGGCCTCTGGTCAGGCCGGAGGAGATGTAACAAAAAACTGTAATTAAAACCCCACCACCATGACGAAATGAAAGTGTGGGGTTGTCCTGCCTGCTCCCTTTGTAGATATTTGTGGTTATTCATTAATTTTGTGTTTATTCATTCCCTTTTGGTAAGGGAACTCAAATTACATGTACGTGTCAGAAGGGCTGGGTTAAATCTGTGATGTCTGGGTGAAAATTGCCTTCTCATTGTGTGGTAGAATGTAGATTTGTTTGGTTAGGGAATTTCAGAGTTCTCAGTTTGCATTGCATTAATCCAGGATGCCATATATCGACAGGATATACACTGGTGACCAAAATTGTGGAAACACCTAGCATTTTTGGCATTAGCCTTTAAGCATTACTATGCAAATATTGGCGGTAATGTTTATAAGCAATCAAAGAATGTTTACAAATATCATACATTGGATTAATAAGTAACTGGAATAAAGTTCTGCAGTCTCTAAAAATTGAAAGTATTTCCACAGTTTTGCCATTAGTGTACATGCCTTAATAGTACCAATTCTGAGTGAAGATCCTTGGAGATCAGGGTCATCCATGTAACTTTCTCGGCTTATCCTGTACCAGCTCCAGAGATGTCCTAGTCCTTCCTGGCTCAGAAGCCGATGATTCGTGTGTCTTGTGTGTGGAAAGATTGGAGTATATTGCTCAGTTATCCAGGAAATGCCCGTGATGACTTTGAATCATGTGCATGCAGTCGCATTTGACAAGATCTAGCAGCATTGTTACTGAAGGGAGAGGTCATTATCAAAGTATTTCAATTTTTGCGGAGGAATGACAAGGTCCATTCTGATCGGGACAAAAAAATAGCTTTAACCAATGAAAAATCTGGGGTGTTAATAAGCTTATTAGTAGTGTAGGTTCAGATTAGACATCAAAATATTCCAACAGAATGAGGCTGAATGGGCTCCTTATCATAATTAACCTGTTAACTTTTTATTGTTATTGAAGAGGTGTTTATTTGATGTCTTTCCAGCTTCACTGCATTATGCCTTTTACAGAGCAAATTATTTGTAGCACAAAGGTAGTTAATCCCCTTTCCACCACTGGTACCTAAAAGCTAATGGGCTTGAGTCTGCTTCATTATCTTGCGGTGCTACAGGTCCCATGCTGTGGGCTCTGTTCTCCCCCACTTCCTGCACCATGCCTTGGTTGTCCCTCAGGAACCTGAGGCAGATGTGATGCAAATCGGTGTCAGCACAATGCAACATAGTACCCATTAAACGTGTGCCCAGTGTAACAAGAGGTGAGCTTCACACTTCCACCCTCTGTTCCCTAGAGGGAACATGCTGCCTCATAAACAGTTTGCCAAATTCTGAACACTTGAGCAGCATAGTACTTGATGACCTAAAGCAGGCGGTTGTCTGGTACTGTTCTGTTCATGGTGTGGTTGGGGCTGTGGCGGAGGTTTGATGAGTTATGGCAGGACAGTCCTGATAAAGAAGCTTGCCTTCCCATTTTAGGTTTCTGGTGCAGTGTCTGAGTTTTGCTTACATTTGAGAACAACACTGTAGCCGTATCCTAACTCTGCTGAGTAGAACACAGTTACTTTTCTGTTTTGTTGGTCATAAGATAAAACTTTTTTTATTCCATGGGAAATTGTGCCAAGTCTTAGCTTTCACTTTGCAGGATTAAACAACAGAACTTAAAAACAGCTGAAATAAATAATACAATATAATACAAGAAATGCAATATAATGCAAAATTAAATAAGGAATATACGTACAATGTAAGTGTATTACAATGCAAGTATAAAGACAAAAGGATAAAGAGACTAGGCATGTAAAGTGGGAATGTGCATGTGCCAAGGATGTAAAAAGGGCATCATAAAATGTGCAAAAATTCAGGATAACTTGTACATTTTCAAAAAAATGAAATGGACAATTAATAAGCACTTCGGCTGTAACAATACACATTTATCATGTACCATCCTGGTTTGGGACACACACTGAAACAAATGAATTTGTATGGAGTTAATTTTGTGCCAAAAGTATTAATCAAAATTTTGCAAACCGCAAGCAAATCATTAAGTATCAGAATGAAAATAAAAAGTTGAATAAAATCATTTTTTTCCTTCTAAATTGTTTTGCTTCTGGAATGCTTTTCTTTGCTTTTGATTTTTTTTTGCTTTTGTAATGCGTTTTTGCTTCTGACTTTCGGCACTGTTTTAACGGGTGGGCGGGCCTTAGCAGCTTACCCGTTCCAAAGCATTCCAAAAGCAAAAAAAAAATTGCAGAAGCAAAAAACAAAAATTTAAAAGCAAAGAAAAGCATTCCAGAAGCAAAACAAATTAGAGAAGAAGGGAAAAAAAATTATTTTATTCAACTTTTTTGATATTTGGAAAACATATTTTCATTTTGATACTTAATGATTTGCTTGCGGTTTTCAAAATTTTGATTAATACTTTTGGCACAAAATTAACTTAAATTTGCACGTTTATCAACACAGGCGGAACCAAAATTCACAAGTGGATGTTCAACACGGAAAACATTATGCTATCTGTATTCTGTAGGAATGAGTAGGTTTAAGAACATTTATCAAACCAAACGTTTATGGTACGAAAAGACATTGTATAACGTTTTTTCAGTGCTGTTCTGTTTCTCATGAACTTAAAAAAATGACGAATCGACTACTTTTTTGTACATTTCAGGCATGTAGTCAAGTATTTAACTAGGTTGTTCAAAAGTTAAGTCAAATTGTGGCCACATAACGCTGCCAACAAATGTATGTAACATAAACAAAAGCATGTATAAATTTAATCAAAATCAATGTATTGGATTTTTTTCTTTGCCAAATTTTAAAAATATACATATTTTTGTGATAGTTCTTTGTTCTCTTCATTTTGCTTTTTTCATCGCTTATTTTTCTTTACGGTATGTGTGTTGCGCTTGCAGTACTTTGTCCCCTTTCAACTGTATTTTTCTTTGCTTCACTATCTGGCCTCTTTTTGACACTCTGTGGGTGGGCAGGGCTCTGTTGGCATGTCTCTCATACCCAATCTGTACCACCTGCCTGATTTGCATCTCGTACATCTGTGTATGTGCAGCATTTTCGAGTGTGTGTACACAGTGTTACATTGGCACTGGCCGATCCATTCATCCTGCCTTTTTACATCAAACCACATCATCTGCATTTACAATAAATAAAGGAATAGTCCATATAATGGTCCATTATCAAGCTATTTCATGTATCGGAGAGAACTTTGATACATCGCCCAGCTCTGTATATGACCATATTCTGTAGTACTTAATTACTGTATGAATATTATTATGTTTAAATATGTTAAATATATATGTTTATAATGTGCAAATAAGCATCTCTTGGGTTTTGTTATTCAGGCATGTCAACAGATACATTGCCTTTGGTTTACAACTGTGTTTGCAGTTTTTAATAACAAATTATTTCAAAAATTCTTTTCCCTGCTGTACCAAAATTGCATCAAACCATAAACCAAAAAGTGAGGTTAGTACCAAACTATGAATTTTATGTACGTTTCACCTGTAGTAAATACTATTAAAAACAGAAGATGTTCCGGAAAGCACTGAGAGTTTAGTGCTCCCAGTGCTTGATGTGGGCTGGTGTGGAGGTCTCCCTGGCCACAGGGGGGAGGGTCTCTTGTGCTCAGTGGAGCCTCCTGTTGATGGAGCTCCGGTAGCTGTTCAGGGTGCAGTGCAGAGGGTGGGAGGTGTTGTCCAGGAAGCCCGCAAGTTTGCACAGAATGCTTTCATCAGCTACAGTCACCAGGAAGTCCAGCTCAATTCCCAGCACTGAGCCAACCCTCCTGATGAGCTTGTTTAGATTGTTGGTGTCTGCTGCCTTCATTCTGCTGTCCCCAACACACTGAAGTGTAGAGGACAACATTGGATACTACAGAGTGGGAGAAAATCTGCAGTGTCTTGTTACAGGTGTTAAATGACTGAAGCCTCTTCCGGAATAGAACCGGCTCTGCCTTTTTTTATACACAGCCTAGGTGTCTCTAACCCAGTCCAGCTTCCTGATCAGGGGCACTCCCAAGCACTTGTAGTCCTGTACTAAATCCACTTCTGATTCCTTGACGGAGACTGATGTCTTGGGGGATTTCAGTTTCTTAAAATCCACCGCCAGTTCCTTTGTCTTTGAGATGGTGAGCTGGTTTATCCTGCAACACTCAGTCATCACACCCCTGTTCTCTGACTCCTGTGCGTTATCTGCCACAATAGCAGAGTCATCTGAAGACTTGTGCAAGAGAAAGATCTTTGAGGTGTAGAGCATGAACAGAAAAGGTGATGGCACAGCCCCCTGAGGTTATACACCACGGTGTCTGATGTGCAGGTTTGACTGTTGAAATCCCAGAATACAGTGCAGTGTTTTGCATCTAAGCCACAGAGGGTGACATGACAGTGCTCTGTCTCATGGTATCTGTCACTGCTAGCTGAGTAACTCTGCAATGTACACTTGTTGATAGAGAATATTCCAGTGTAGAAGTTGGCTCTGCAACACGAGCCTAGACCAGAGTCCTAGATTATGTGTTGCTTATTTTTATGAATGTGGCCTCGCCCATGCCGCCTTTCATAACTTATGATTACTCAGATTCACATACATTCACACCTGCAAGAATTCTTCAAGGTGCCCAAGTTCAGCAGCTCAGGGTTATGTGTTAAGTATGTTTCTCAGCGTGCAACAGCAAAGTCCCTCCCATGCACTTAAGATCTGCAAGATTTGGGTTACAAATATAGAGACTGAGGACACTATATCGCTATTCTGCAATAAAAATGGAGGCATGCTGGGGGTGCTGGTGTTAAGAAAATGGACTGGAAGTGGGGAGCGGCCAGCTTGGCTCTCTGTATTAGGGGCCTGTGCTTTTTCTGTGTCTGTTCTCTTTCCTTTCCTCTGTCACATATCCCTTTCCAGTCCAAAAGAGAAGTACGGATCAGTGATTTCAGGCCCTTGCGGGGCAGAATGAGACCAGTGTGCACCTGCTGTTGACTTTACAGTGATCCTTTTGTTCTCGAGGTTGGACACGGGGCAAAAATGCTCGATGATGAATGACGAGGGAATGTAATTACTGTATTAACCAAAACAGCAGAGTCATGTAGTGCCATGATAGTCAAGTTCTGTATGCTTGCTTTATTATAAAAGAAAATTCCACTGTTTCTGGACTTCTTGTGACTCTGAATAGGACACGTGGTTTCAGAAGATGGATGGATGAGATTCTTGTTTTTGTGTCTGGTAGCATGTAAGGCCAGTCAATAGTCGGCTCCATGCTGATTTCATTGGTCTTGATCCAGTCTGGTTGACTGGTTCTATTCCTTCTTTATGTAAGGAGATCTGTGAGGTCACTGTAGCGTGCCGTGTTCAGTAACACATGGACTTTTCCCACCCTCTTTTACAGGGACCAGATCTTGGAGATGTTCGACCATGCGTACGGCAGCTACATGGTGAGCGGATCTCTCCCTCCTCCTCCAGTCACAACCAGCTCTCCCAGTCCGTCCCTCCCATCTCACCTACACTCAGATGTCTGTGTTAACAATCACATAGCAAATCATCATCCCAGGGATGTGAAAGCATGAGTTTTTAAAGTTTATATCTGTCCTTGAGTTCATGCAGATTAATTCAGAGTATGGCTGCAGGACGACATACTGATGTGTTGATTCATTTAATTAAACTGACAGATGACCACACTTCTTCAGAGGGGGGGGTTATTTAGTAATGTAGAATCACAGTATTTCTTTGACTTTTTACCATTAATGATAGTGCTGCTTATTGTTTGTCCTGTCTAATGACCCCCCCCCCTCCACTAATGGCCTCCCCAGAAATACGCCTACCCCGCTGATGAGCTGATGCCCCTCAGCTGCAGGGGTCGCGTGAGGGGGCTGGAGCCCCCCCGTGGGGACATCGACGACTCGCTGGGCAAGTGAGTGACACGTGTCCTCCGGGGGAGGGGGGGTGGTGCTGCTGCCATGAGAATGTGAGCTGACCGTGTAACCAGCTGCATGCTGTGTTTGGCACACGGCTCCATAAAATCCGCTGACATCTTCCTGCCGAATGGTTCCTGACTAACAGGACGCCCCCCCCCTGGCCCTGGGGCAATCTAGGCCTCTGATGGGAGGAGTTGGCTCCAACTTGGGGTTGAACTCTTGAAGTTGTACATTTATTTTGTGTGTTGATGCTCATATCTCTGGAAAAATGATTGGTTTCCTTCAGCCACTTTCAGACAGTTTTATCATCAGCGGTCCAGTCATGGAGTCCCAGTATCCCACTGGGAGTCAGACACACCCCTGTCCTGAACTACCCGACTTTAACCTCTGACTCTTTGCTTCAACCTTACCCTTCCACATTGCTACTACATCTATTCCTATATCTATCCATTCCTATGTCTTCACAGACTTTATCAGAATTTATTTGGTGGGTGTATTTATCCAAGCAGCCAGATACATAGCTTTGCTAGGTTTGCTGAACTTTCACAATAGTACACAGTTGTTTTACTGAATATATCACCTACAGTTTAACTTAAAAAAAAAAAATTTTAAAATCACTTACTGTGTGCATTCTTTCTTCCTGAGGTTCTCTCTCACGCTGGTTGACACCTTAGACACTCTTGTGGTAAGTTGAATCTCTGTAGTACTTTATGGTCAATCTGAGATCGCTTCTCATTTCTTTTTGAGAGGTGTCTGGTGTGAAGTACGCATGCAAACTTGGCCAGTGCTGCTTAATAAATTGTGAAAATTCATCCAAATAATAATGAAAGTGCCCCACCATTAAGCCTCCGGGAATGGGTGTCAGGGTGGAGGTTGGGTTTGAGAGTTAGGTCGTTTGGCCTCTGGATACACCTCTTTGGGGGTGTTGGGTTGGGTTGTGTTTAACCCCCTTGGTATTTGTTGGCACATGGCAGGTGCTGAACAAGCTGGAGGAGTTTGAGGAAGCAGTGAAGATGGCGGTGAAGGACGTCAGGCTAGATAACGACATCGTCGTGTCTGTGTTCGAGACCAACATCCGGGTGCTAGGGTAGGCTTGGGTGACCCACTTTTTTTCTGAATTGATTTATTTATGTCGCGCCTTGACTTTGAGCTCTTAGACTTGCTGTTTCTGCAGAGGCCTGTTGGGGGCGCACGTGATGGCTGACCTGCTGCGTGGGCAGGGGGAGCGGATGCAGTGGTACAGGGATGAGCTGCTGCACATGGCCAAGGAGTTGGGTCACCGGCTACTGCCTGCATTCAACACCAGCAGCGGGCTGCCTTACCCTCGGGTACCTATGGCCTTGCCGGCGCCGCGTGTAGCTGCCTCTCCTGACCTTGTCCGCTGTCCTGAGCGGAGCATGCGCACTAACCCGACTCTTCCGAATCTCTCCCCAGGTGAACCTGCGCTATGGGGTCCTGAATCCGCTGTCACGCACCGGCACTGAGTCGGACACCTGCACGGCATGCGCGGGAACGATGATCCTGGAGTTTGCGGCACTGAGCCGGCTGTCGGGGGACACCGTGTTCGAGGTGCGAGCACTGAGATCCTGGGACTCTATTTAAAGTGATTTATAGGTCACTAAGGCTGCAGTATGGAAACAAAGCAGCACTGATGGATATTCAGCATTCTGAATCTCGGGCTGGATTAGAGCATGGCATCCCTAACCCCTGACTGGCAGCGGGAAATGTCCCATAAACGCCACTCAGCAAAGTGTTTTTGGCTGAATATTACCATGAAAGAACTCTGCTCACAGTCCCTGTTTAAAATGCTGATAAAAATATGGGTGAGTAAGTGCTGTCTGGCCTGTGCATTTAGCGGTTAGAGGCATGAGCTAATGTCCCCGTTGCAGACGGACACGGTCTCAGAGACGGGTGACGAAAGTCTTGTTTTGCTGTCGCTCAGTGGGGGGCTGTTATCTCACAGAGTGTCAGCTTCCCCATCTGAGGGCAGGACTGAACACGCATGTATGCATGTATGAGGCTGATGACCAGGTTTTTGCCATCGCAGGAACACGCCAGGAAGGCGCTGGATGTGCTCTGGGACAAGAGGCAGAGAGGAAGTGACCTCGTGGGCACCGTCATCAACATCCACAACGGGGACTGGGTGCGCAGAGGTGAGGACCTGCCCTTCTTCTCCCCCACGGTGCCTTTGGTCGTCTCTGCCTGCCTGTCTTATTGTTTTTTTCTGGTTATTTCCCCGTTTCGGTATCCCGTGTTAAGCCATGGGCTACAGAAGCAGACTGCTCTGACTGTCCCTGCCCTTCCCTCACAGATAGCGGTGTGGGGGCTGGTATCGACTCATACTACGAGTACCTGATGAAGGCCTACATTTTGCTGGGAGATAACGTCTACCTGGAGAGGTTCAACGCGGTACGGGTCCCGCCTCGCTCTGCCGGATTACCCTTCTTCACACGCAAAACACTTATCAGTTGTGTCCCTGCGAACCATATTTTCAAAATTCCATGTTTGGTTATTCTGCAGTGGTAATCAACGGGAATGGTTTGAAAAATGCATTACTTCAGGGAATGAAAGACGTTTGCAGTATTTAGAAATATAGATGCTCCTTGTTTTATGATGGGTCAGCTTTTATTTATTAGATTTTTTTATATTTCAACTTTAGCGACGCACATTCCACTTAAAGTTTTATGTTCCCTTTTTTTTGTTTGTTTCATATTTGCTTATTCATTGGCAGTAGCCATTTACTTACTTATATTCATATTTGACTTGCGATATTTTCAACTTATGGTGGGTTAATTGGAACGTAGCCCTATTGCATGTGTAATAATCAGCAGGAATTGTTTGATAAATGTTACCTCAGTGACTGAGGTATATTTTTTATATTAAGGAAAATGTGTTTTTTGTTCCCCTTGCATAGAGGTACTTGACATTTGGGAAACAATTTTGGTTCCATAGAAGCTTGACCTTGATGGTTCACCAGTGAAATGAATGATTTGGCGCGGTTTAGAACCAGCCGCAGTGGGGTTCTCCGAGAGAGCGGATCAGGCAGGGTGAACGCGAGGGTCGCATCCCACATGCCGGTGTGCTCAGCTGCCGCTATGTCCACACAGCACTACAGCGCCATCATGAAGTACATAAGCCAGCCGCCGCTGCTGCTCAACGTACACATGCACAACCCCACCGTGAGCGTGCGTGGCTGGATGGATTCCCTGCTGGCCTTCTTCCCTGGGCTGCAGGTCAGGCTCCCGGCTCTTCCTTTCTTGGTCCTCCCCTTAGGGCCCTTACTACTTTCTTGTTGTAAAAGCCACCTGACAGAGTAGACCTGGGGAAGTAATCCACAAAGTAGGATTTCTTCTTTAACCAGATAGCTTCTCAGATTTAAGGTGGTCTGGGCTAAATGTACTTCATCTTTGATTTGTTACATTTAGCCCAGACTACCTTAAATCCAACAAGTTATTCAGCTAAGCAAGAAATCCTTTTTCGTGGAACACTACCCTGGTAACCGCTAATGTAAATAAAACCTTTAACCAGTGACCTCAAAATTTGATTGGCTGAAAGATCACTGAGTGGGTATCCGTCCTCTGTTTCGTGTCTTGGGGTAACCCCGGCTTCAGTCCTCTCCTGGTGACCCGTGGAAAACCCCTTCTCGTCCCCAGGTGCTGAGAGGAGATCTGAAGCCGGCCATCGAGACACACGAGATGCTCTACCAAGTGACGCAGGAGCACAAGTTCTTACCGGAGGTGACTGGTCTGCGGTGGTGCATGCAGCCCGCACTGTCCTGTGATCCAGGGTCAGGCTGTTTGAGTCTGAATCTCTGCTTGGCTCTCTCTCTAGGCATTCACCACCGAGTTCAAAGTTCATTGGGGTCAGCACCTGCTGCGTCCTGAGTTCGCAGAGAGCACCTACTTCCTATACAAGGTACTGAGCTCGTGGCCTGTGCTGATAGGATGTGAGTTTGAATGTTTGGTTGCATTTGGTGTGATCATCCAAACCTGCATTCCTAGCCCTAATTACCCCATGATCTGATCTCAGTCCCCATACCTCCAAAGTCGGGGGTTCAAATCACACCTTTATCGGAATGACAAACAAAGGCACATGTAATAATGTAGAATTGTGTGGATTTCCTCTCGTAGTTCAAAAACATACAGTTAGGCTAACTGGCATGTCTCAGTTGCTTGTGGTGTTTGACTGTATGCCAGTGTGTGCGTGTAACTGCCCTGTGATACACGGGCATCCTGCCCAGGGACCCCAGCTTCATGCTGCTTGGAATCGACTCCAGGATGTAGGTGCACTGGTGTGTACTTAGCAAATGGCCACATTGAATGTGAACTTGCAGGGCTGTTATCCCAGTAACTTACTACTTTTTGTGTCCTTGTTTAACCACTGTACTGCACCCGTAGGTGGCGTAGTTTGCCTATTAAGTTCCCCATTATGCTTCCCTATCAGGCCACAGGGGACCCCTACTACCTGAAGGTGGGCCAGTCCATCGTGGAGAAGCTCAACACTCACACCCGAGTGCCTTGCGGGTTTGCCGCCATGCAGGATGTCCGGACTGGGACCCATGAGGACAGGTAGCGGAGAAATGGCCCTGGACCGTTGCTGGTTTAAGTTCTCCTCCTCCCCAAACCAGTTTCCCCAGAAGAGCTGACACTGTTGTATAATCTGAGGTTCTTTGACTATTGTTTGACACTAGTGTCTTTCTGACCAAACAAAGTCTAGCTGACAGGGAGATCTTGAGAAAGACAGAAACCTTCTCAGTCCAATGAAAGTTTCTCCAGCCTGGTGCTTGAGAGACTGGGCAGGACAAATATGCTTGTATTGTCCCAGTGAGGGAAGGCTGTGGGCACTGCATTGGGGCAGGGTCTATCCAAATAGTCACTTGAAGCAGGGGGTTTCTGCTTATGTTTACAGAATGGATTCCTTTTTCCTGGCGGAGATGTTCAAGTACCTGTACCTCTTGTTCTCGGAGAAGAGTCAGCTACCGTTCGACATTGACGACTACATCTTCACCACGGAAGCTCACCTTTTGCCCATGTCCTTGTCCAGCACACAACCCCCCTGCCAAGACAACAGAATGGTATGTCCCATACTGCCCTCCCAAGCTAGGCTTTGATTGAAGCCCTAATCTGAAAAAAAAAACTTGGCATCACAAAGCACAAAAGTTTTCCAGGGGTATCGAATGCAGCCGGTCTGGGGGCTTTCTGTTCTCTCCTTGCTTGTACCTAACTTAGGACATTGTTCCAAACATTAGTCTCAAGTTGTAAACAACTTAGGTCAGCCATGCTAGGAAGGGCGTGACATTTAAAGAAGGTTCTGCAACGTGCCCGATTGCTGCACTCTCCTCCAGTTGGATAGAGATCTGCTGTCTTCCTCACGATCGCTGTTTTTACTTGTCTGTCACATGCTTTTAGTCCAGCACATTCATGTTGGTCCTTTATACAGGCATACATGCACTGGGTCATTCGAACCCACAGCCTTTCTAAAACATGCCGACACCCATCCTGTGGTCTAGGTGCAGGAATCCCCGACAGCGGAGGACCTGTTCACCTACTCCTGTCCCAGCACCCAGACCCTCTTCCCCAACAACCCGTCATTCGCCAGGACCATCCGGGATGGATACAAGTACCTCACGGGGGTGGGCAGGGTGCATCACCACGCCACGCCCATCAGGTAACATCCCAGTTCCCTTTGTCCGTCTGACGGCGGAGCCTGATCGGTCAGTGCTTATGGACGCCCTGTCCTGCACACGCCACAGGGGCATCGAGCTGCCTCTGCACGACAGCGGCATGGAGTCCGTGGAGTTCTTCAGGAGCATGGGCATCTCTCTCGCCAAGCTGCACGACGTGGCGGCCAGCCTCAGCAACGCGGGGGCCATGGCGGTGAGCCGGCGGGGCCCGGAAGTAGGAGGATGCCTTGGGAGATGTGGATGTTCACATGGCTGATGGATCCTTCTTGCGGAAACCCTTTCAATTAACCCCCTGTCCCCCCCCCCCCTCCCCACATAAATATTGTGTTGCATTCCTTGCCCATTCCCAGGATGCCGCGGGGCCCAAGGGCACATACACAGTCAAGCTGATAGCAGAGGTGAACCAGGCCACAGAGGAGGAGGAGGTGGTGCCGCTGGTCGTGCAGCTGATCTCCCCGCCGTTCTTGGGCCGGACAGTGCTGATGGCCGGGCCGGCCAAGTTCGGGATGGACCTCACAAAGCAGGAGCACGGGGTACGCCGGTTCTGGCCCCTTCGGGCCGCCCCGTAATATGGCGATCCCTGTTGGAGTGGTTGTAACCGGATCTCGGTATTGTGCGTTAAAGACGTCCTTCCCACAACTCACGCCCCAAATAGGTATGGCAGATTGAAAAGGGCCAATATTGGATTACAGTCATCGACTATTTATTCTTTTGTTATCTGTGGGAAAGTCGTCACCTGGGCTGCGCCACATGTCGGTCGGTCTCTCAGCTCACGCACTCCGCGCTCCCCCTTGTGTCTCTGCTGTGGCAGGTGAAGGGCAGCATAGTAAAGAGCGCCCCCTACAGCGCATGTGGGCCCATTGAGAACGCAGAGGAGCTGCGGGGCAACATTGCCGTGGCGCTGCGTGGGGACTGCATGTTTGCATCCAAGGCCCGGAGGCTGCAGGAAGCGGGCGCCATTGGGGTCATCTTCATTGGTGAGAGAGCCCCCCCCCGCCTAGGGTGGGGTGGCATAATTTTGGCTTTTTAATAAGATTAATTATAAGTGATGAAAAGGAAACTGGGGTGACTGATCCCACCCCCATCCCACCAGACCACCGGGAGGGGAGCAGCAGTGAGGAAACACCCCTGTTCCAGATGGTGGGTGATGGGGGCTCCGTGTCTGACATCACCATACCGCTGGTCTTCCTGTTCAGCCGCGAGGGGGCTGTTCTGAGCGCCGCCCTGGAGGAGCACCGCAACGTGGACGTGCTGCTGCTACCCCGGGACCGGCAGCTGGGCCGAGGTGCTGCAGCAAAGCCCCCCCTCCTCCACCGGCCACCTGAACACCCTCCACTTTCTGTGCTAGTTGATAAACCAACGTGTGTCATGTTATTTTCCTGTGATATGTACCTGCCCCGCTGTAGCATCCTTTAGCGAGGCGCATAGTTGCAGAAAACCGGTATCCAGTATGATTTCATTTTTCCAGAGGTGGAAAGTTCAGGTCTAGAAAGTGCAAATCCAGACCAAGGTTTTGTTTCAACCAACTAGATAAGTACTCTGTGACTGTACCTTCTGGACCTCGCCTTTCCACCTCTGCATTTTCCCCAGTTTTGACCTTAGCAAGAAACTTTGGATAAGTCAGCTTATCCATCCATCCATCTTCTATCCACCTATCCTGAGCCCCCACCCAGACTAATCCAGTCATGTTCCAGTTTTTTTATGCCGCTGTCCCTCTTGGAGTCCTCCTGACTTTCCACTCCTTTACGGTGCCTCCTGCTGTTCAGGGTCTTGCAGACGGCTGAACCTCTTAAATTAAATGTGACTTGTTGCCCCATCCGTGGTGTTCCCCCACCTTGTGCCATGTGCTGCTTGGGATAAGCTCCACGCCCCCTGCTGTCTTGTCCTGGATAAATGGTTGGAAGGTGGATGGATTCCTTATGGTAATCCCTTTTGTTTTAGCCCTGTACTTTGTGGTGGAGTCCTGTAGGGGGCAATATTCTGGCAGATGGTGATTTCTACAGCATCTTCTTTCCCTTGCAGAAAAGGCGAGCCAGCCGCTTGGTGTCAATATCAAGATCCGTTTATCCGGGGGTGGGGAGCTGCTGAGCGGAGAGGCCAAAGACGCCACCTTCCAGCTGCTGCTGGAACCGGGCGAGGAGGAAGAGGAGGATGGGGAAGTAAAAAGCCCCAGCAGCCAGTGCCATCTCTCAGACTTGCCTCCGCACACGGGCAAGCAGGCCAGCAGGGCCGGCTCCCAGTCCACGGCGTGCTCGTCCCACACCGACTCACAGAGCAGCCCCTGACATTCTCGGAGGCACCACACCTCACCTTGAAGTGCTGACCAATGCGCCGGGTTTTCTCAGCATGCTGTGCTGGGGGAGGCGGAGTCACAGCCCCCCTGTTTGAGAGCTTGTAACCTCTGGACCAGGACTAAGTTACTGATGTGTCCTAAGAGGATAAGAGACACTGGGAAGTTGGACTCTTGTTGAACTGGGTTTCCTAAGATTTATCACGTACTGTTATAGTAGCTGAAATCATGAAATAATATATAAAATAATGGGGGGGGGGGGGATCTGTACATGCAAGGGGACTTGCTACAGTTATGTAGGGATGCTAATTAGCCTAATGTCAGCTAAGAATAACAAAGGTGGGACCTGAGTTGGGGGGTTAGGCTTACACGAGCTACATTTCTTAGCCATGGAGTGCTTCTCCACTTAAAATGCCAAAAGGAGGCGGCTGCTGCAATGGCAGCTGCAGACGGTTTTGGGGTAGTGGTGGACGCCATTTTTAATAAGTGGTAGACAATGGCTGGTACTGTATTAGGTTGTGTTATAACGTGCGGCCAGTGCGGTGAACCGCAGCGTTCATACTTATCGTGTACTTGAACATCGGGCAGTTTCTGTTTAATCACGTGTGATGGATGGGAACAGCGGTCTTACCTGGCATTACACTACAGAGGCGCACTCGACACGCCGCGTTCTGTGGGCGGGGCCTGAGTTTCACTTATGATTCTAGTCTTCACTATTATAAAGAACCTGTCCAGCATACCTCATGTTGCGCCTGCAAAACGGGCACCGGGGTCTCGTCTGGTTCAGATGTCGCGGTAGTGGACAGTCTACACCTCATATCCACTTGCTGCACATCGCGCGGGGACGGGAGACTGCAGACTGCCTGCCTTCCGGCTCGTTCATATCACCCTTTACAGAATAACGTTGAGTTAGCAAGCTTCAGAAATGTGTAAAATTAGTGGTGATGAAAAAAATTGGGTCCTTTTGTACGCAACCTGCAAGAGGTGAGCTGAAGCTTGGTCAGCAATACCATCTATAGCCATATTATATATATTTAATTTAAATTTGGGTATTAGAATTATGCGCACGAAACGGGGTTCTTGTCACTGTGATTCGTTTTCACTTAAAACCTACGACCTCATGGGTAGCGGTGGGAATCATTAACCTGTCTAAAAATGCCTTGTGTGGGTTTTTTAAGACGTCTTGCAGGATATCATTTCACCGTAACGCTTGGCAGCGCCGCACTTTATGAGATACGCGCTGCAAAGTGCGTTGGGAAAGTCTTAATCTTACCTGCTAGGCCGTGATAAAGCGGTATTTTATCGTGCACATCCATACGATGCGTTTTCTCAAGGGCTCACTTGTGTTTCACTAGCGAAGCGCCACCTACTACAAAGTAAGGTTGTGTGTGTGTTTTGTGGTATTTATTCTTAATTGCAGTACCATCCGGAAATATTGATGGCAAAGCAGGTGAACGTAAGTGCCAAAGTCTTTTAGTCCTTTTGCTGTAACAGTAATGCTTTCCACTGTGTGGTTTTTGATAAATGTTCTTATAAAAACGACCTGAATTAGTCAATAAACTAGACTTACAAACGCAGTAATCGTAGTCCTTTTCCTTTGGTTTTGCATTCCGTTTTTGGTATTTTTGTGTGAATACTTTATTAGCGTGATTACTCGAATAGGTCCTATTTGCACTACTCCCACTATTTTTATTATATATTTTTGTAAACATTACCATTGCACATGCAGAAGATGCTGGCTGCGTACAATATTTAGACTGTAGAAAGTTAAACAGCGAGCCAAGGCTGAGATACAATCATCAGTTAAACCTTTATTAAACAACATTAAAGCGTAATAATATAAACTTGTGGTAGGGTTTGCCAAACTTTGTTTTTCTCGCTAGCCTTTTAGACACGTTCGTCTCTAATTTCTGTATTAGTGATTTTACATGGAATAAATGTGCCATTTGCAGCTGGAAATTCCAGTAGCTGCCAGCAGGGGTCTCTGCTTCCTTATTTCTATTCTCCACGTTAATCACCTTTCCTTTACTGCCCGTATTATTATAACGATTTCAAAAGCTACTCCCACGTAAACTACTTTAAACTGACAAGGTTAAGCACAGATGCAGTTTTTTACCACAGAGAATAAAACAATGATACTGACACTTTAATGTATCAATCACTTTAATTCTGTTATTCTGCTCTTTTTTTAATCAATCAGATACATATTTTTTAATTAATAGTTGTGTGTTTTGGCGCTATTATATGTCAGCAGTAAATGGCGGCTGAATGTTTTGCTTAAATTAATTAGATGGCTTCCTTACGGAGCGAAACTAAATTTCGCCGTCCAGCTTTTTAAGTAACCATTTCCATACGTCTCTCTGCATTATCGCTACTTTTATTACGTTGTGTTCTGCAGATTCCTTTATAATCTGAGCGTAACATATAAATTAGAGCACGTAATCATTCTAAAATCACAACATACTGAAGATTGTAAATATAAATAAAAGTTTGACAAACTATAGATTTAAATTTTTTTGATCTGGGCAAAAAAGCAAAAACAAACAGGCTATAACAAAGATAATTAAAGAAACAATAGTGGCCCACTGGACTACGTGCTGTGGACCCCTAATTATTTACCCGACAGCGCACATGTCAGGCAGGTGCACTACAGTAGCGTACGCAGGAATTGTATTTTTCATCTCTGAATCAACAGCAAGCCTCCCCGAGACCGATAATGGATTAAGGGATCTGTCATCCACCTGTGCTTACGGACCGGTACGTCATGACGGTCCATCCGCGCGTGTCCCATGCACCCGCACGCTGCCGCCCCCCTCCACCCCCGGCGCTTTCGCTCCAGCTGATCTCTCCTCTCCGCCTGCCCCCGCCTCCTCCCTTCCCTCGACTACAGCTCAGCCATCGTCAGCACGGCCTCATACCGCCAGCGCCACCGTCCTCTGCTCGGACGGCATCCCACCAGAGCTAGAACAAAAGGTGGCCTCCGTGATCCGTGCACCTGCCGCGTTTGTGCTTTTTCCCCGGTAAAGGGACCGGGGGGCTGGGGGGAATGAGAAGCCCCCACTCCCCGTGCCAGACCGTTTATCCGTAAGGATCACCGTCCAGGATGCTTCTGCTTCCGAGATCCAGCGAACGGCGAGCCGGGGCCTCGCTGCTGCACGGGCTTCTCTGCGCGGTTCTTGCCGTATCCAGCGCCAGTGCGCGAGGTGAGCGGTCCCGTGTCTGCATTTATTTAATCTTATTTATAAGCCTACTTCTCTCGTCTGCATTTAACGCGTTAATGCGTTTATAGCAAAAGGAACATTTACAAAATCTTAACATTTGTTCTTATGCACGAAGTATATTACTTCTTCCTGCCATCTAGGTTATAATTCATCGCTCAAAGTGTGGATACTTTGTTTAAAAATGTTACTTTAAATAACACAATCACACGGCCAGCTGGCACCGTGAATATACAAAAGTGCAGGAGCTGTTTTCTGTGCGCGAATAACGCGTTTATGTAACAGCTGCTAGGTGTGTTTACGGTGAGATCGCGCTTTTTCGGGCTTCTATGGGATCTACTGCATTTAACGTATGATTCAATACATTACGGGAGATATTTAGGTGCTGTTAATTTCTTCCCTAAAATCGCAAACGGGAGTCTGTTTTGTCCGCTGTTTTTGATGTAGTGTTGAACCTGCTCTGGTACAAAACATGGACGAGCCCGAAAAGGCTGCATCTCGCATGTCGTAGACGGGACGGCTTATTTTCCAGGGTGACCTTCTTCATCTTTTAAAACAGCCTTTCTGGTGATCGATCCGTCACGGATTCATTTACTTTATTTCGCATGAGTAGTATATGTTTTAATGTGCTGGTCACACACAGCATGGCGTGGTTACCGATAAGCCCGATTCTACCGTAAATGTAAGTAAGTAGGTAGTATAATTTTTACGGGTCCTAAGGGGACGATGACAGCATCTGCACTTCATATTCCGCTATTAATGATAGAGATGGGTGCTTTTTTCTTCTTGTTGTTTTTCCTCTTTTTTTCTATTTTCAATTTATTATTGGACCTCCTCCTCCACTGTTCCGTCACTAGTGTGGTGTAGATTATCCTAACCTGTTGGCTGTAAGTCTGTGTGATCCCTGGCCAAGCGAAGAGCTCATACCGTGTTTCGGGGGTACTCTGCGGTTTTCCGTGTCCGTTTCACCTGTGTGTGTCTTAGTCGTGTGGCAGAAATGTAGGGTTTATCTGGAATTGCACTAAGCGACATGCAGAGAGAGGGTCCCTAGGTGGGACGGGGCTGTCATGTGGGGGATGGACAATCTCCTGGAGATTAGCGTTGGAGGGAGAGATTATCTCCTCTGATCCAACATCACACCGGCCCTGTGGGAGGTGCAGGACTCGCAGGACGATCTGTTGTGTTGCTGGTCAAGCACCCGCAAGTAACCACACACACAAGTACTATTTAACATGTTAAAACCATGGCCAGATGTCTACAGACGCACAAAAACACATACATAGGCAAACACACCCTGTCCATGCAGCTTCATGTTTTCCAGACACCCAAACACAAACTCCACACTCAGGTTGTCGTGTCTGGAGACTCTCCTCGCACGTGCTCCGTACACCTCCATGCTCTCATGCTGGACGTCAAAACCGCCCTGCTTGTTGAGTTGGCTTGTGCACACACACACACACGTGCGCACAGACACACACACAAACACACCCCGCTCCATTAAACAGGACCCAACTTACAGGTCCTTGGCCAGCTGAGAAAGGACTCACTGTTAATTATAACATTATTGCTAAATAAATAATGTTGCGGAGGGAATTCAAAATGAAACTCACTTTCCGCAAGCTACAGGCCTTCGCTGTTCTTGCTCTGTAACGTCATTTGTCCATGAGAAGTACAGATAATATAATTAGAATTCAGTATTGTAATATTTATCATAGGAAATGAGCACTATTATTATCCCCCCATTTTTCATCTCATGATCTTGCTGGGAACTGTGGAAAGGTTAAATACACTTTTGTTATAATCATTAATAATCAGCGTTTTCATATGTTATTCTGGTTGGGCTGTTATTTATGATGTATATTATGTAACTTCTGGTACCGTAATTCCTTTCTTGTGAGTGATTTAAGCGCCAAAAGGAAGCCAGTAAGTGGGAGCCATTGTGGGTAATAGGGACCAAAGAGTTACCTTGGGGCAGAATGAGTTAGGGGTGGATAAACTTATCTGGTGCCCTTAGGCTGACAATGGCAAGGACACTCAGGTGCTGCCAGATTAACCAACCGTTCCACTTTCCCTGAGGTGGGGTGGGTTTTTGTTGGGCCCTTTGGCCACTGTTTCCCAATCCAGTCTTGGGGGGCCCACAGGCAGTCCACGGTCCCTGGGAGGGAGCAAAAACGTGGACTGTCTGTGGGCCCCTGTGGACCGGATTAGGAAAGGCATGCATGAGCTGTCGTTTAAGACAGCCTGTGCATTAGTTTGCCCCTGAATGGGTTAATGAGTGCACTTCAGTTCTCTCTGCAGTGGCCTTGGAAGGGACTTCACAAGGCTTGGGAACCAGTGCGGCTGTTAAACCTGCGCAACCCCCTCCCCCGGGTTCTCTATGAAAATCTTTGAAGGCCGTGTTGACCTCCCAAGGTCTGATGGACACACGGACGCCGGTCCCACGTCAACAGCACATTCCTACTCATCACAGGAGGGTCAGACAGGAGGAGGTTTTGCAAATGCTGTGTAATAAACCTGATCAGTTTGGGGGGGGGCAGAGCGTGCACAGCACCTCCCCTGTCTCTTTTTCACCATATCCATCAGCTTTTCTCCCCAACAGTGGCCCTTCTATGGCTTTCTCACCATCAACGGCGGTAACGCCATGCTTCACTCCCTTCTATGACTGTCATTCTTACTTGTGAACTTTTGTGAAACAAACCAATTTCTTTGTGAATTTACAGCGTTATCCTCTGTCTAACACTCAAACAACTTATACTTTGTTCATTCTGAGCCTCGTAAATACCTAAGAAACCTTTTGCTAACTCTTGTAGAAATTCCATTACCACACCCAGAAAAGTCACGACGCCCTGCGCGATTCTGCGTTTAGCAGCTAAATCTTTTGCGTTCGCTGCATAACCTTGCAGTGAATATAAAGACACCGTCATTTGGGATATGAGATACTTTTAATCCAGTGTGGTGTTTGACCAGTGGGGACACACTGTCCCCAAACCTCCGAAGACCTCCGTGTAAATAACGCTTAAAGCGTCCCGGTGGGATGTCACTCTCCTGTCCCCATCTCGGAGGACTGGATAGCCCATCAGACATTTTAACGTTTAAGTGTCTCGTATTGTCAGAGGGAATCTACCTTCAAATGGCCTCTATGTGCCGATCTGTCATTCGCTGTCCCTTTGTTCTGCTGTTTGCTTTAATCTTACGCAATATTTACTTTTCTCAGTCCACCAGCAGTTCTCTGAGACCAGGGGTTTTCAGCCTTCTTAAGCCATGAATATGTTTCCCTCCGACTGGGGGGGTGCTCCTATAATAATGTTTTTGCTGATGTGTGAACTGGCTGTTACCAGGGGGGTAAATCTTTGGCCCCAAAGCAACTGAATTTGATTACGGTTATTAAAGGAACAATTCAATGCATCAGAAATCTTTAATACCACAATTTGTTTCGATTAATCGATTTTTCAGTTTGATTATTTTGATAACCTAAATTCAAAGTTTTTTTTTTTTTCGTTTTACCTTTACTGAAAAAAAATCTAATTATACCATGGTAACTTCACTGCACACTATTAATAAAACAAAGAAAGTAGGATCTCGGAACATTAATTTTACTTTATGAGCATTTTTGTGTTTGACATTTCTGTCTCCATGTCACATCGCCTGTAGCCTGTGGGGAATCGAGCCCCGTTCTTCACAGGAATCTGCTTTGTTTATCCTCCTGGGCTTGGATTTCTGACAGAATTTTAATTCCCGTATGTCCACGTCTGCCACTGTAAGATGCGGATGGGTGGTTCTGTTGCCCCCCTCCCCTCATCATCTTTACCAGCTCAGTGGAAACTTTCTGGAGGCTTTTTTTTGGGGGGGGGCTGTGACATTGTTAGAGAGAGGGCATGTGGCTCTATTCTATAAAGTCACACTCAGGAGCTACGTGGACCTGTAGGCCGACTATGAGAAAAGAAAACCTTATAAATGGGACCATATGGGAAAAATGGGGGTGGGGGGGTCCTGTGTGCTTGTGTTTACATGGCCTCAGGAAAATGTACTTTGAAATGCAGAAACAATTGAAATGGGGGCGTGGTTGCTGATAGTCGTGAACGTGAAGCGTTTCCATAGCAACTGCCAGTCTCGTTTAACCCGCCTGGCAGCAGGATGCGTGCGGCTGACGTCTTTGCATTTCAGAGAGGCGATGCGAAATGAGTGAATAACGTGGGAGAAAGCAGAGTATCCGGCCATCATTGATAAATACTGATCAAGTACGTGGTCATGGTACGCTGGAGCCTATTCCCGGATGCAGGGGGGCCATGGCGGGGGGCAGCCTCATGGCGATGCTGGGCCATCACAGGACACACACACTCTCACATTCTGGGCAGTTTAGGCAAGGCAGTTTGTCTCTGGACTCCCGGAGGAAAGACAAGTGTCCCAAAACACGGAGGAAAGACAAGTGTCCCAAAACCATGTTATTTAGCAGATGTTTTTACCCAAAGCTACATACGGTTAAGGAGGGAGGGTCAGACTACTCTAGCAGTTGGGGATTGAGGTCATTGCTCAAGGACCCAATGGTGAAATCACTCTACCAACCCTGGGACTTGAACTGGCGACCTTCCGGACACACCGAGCCACGCACCGCAATCCTCCAGAGTGTTATTGAGCCAGTGCGATATAGAGAGTGAAACGAGAACCCAAGAGGAACCCGAGTTCTGCTGGGTCCCAGCTGGGCGCCTTCTGGTCCAAACTGCTGATCCGAAGGTTTCTGAGGAGCCTTTCTGGCAGGGATTCCGGAGAGGTGACCTGTCCCGCTGTGCCAATGGCTCCGGCGCCACTTCAGGTAAAGGTACTCGCTGCGCGCTTAAAATAAACATGGCGACCTGGTAGCCAAGGGGATTGTGGGAAAGGAGCATGTGCGAAAGATTGGTGCTGGTTTTCTGGGAGAGAACAGCGCACTCTCACCCCCACTGAGATTGCAGGTTGTGTGTTTGAACTGGCCGTGTGACAATTGGAGC